ATATATAATACATGTATTAAAATTCGCGCAGTAGCTACTAGCCTACTAGAATTGGCGCAAGTAAAGATAAAGCGTGCGTTCAAAATACCACTGGCAATGAACAAGAACTAAGACATTTGTTACGAAATCTGCTACAAAATGTCGACAATATATCATACAGTGTTGGATTTTTCTCATGTGTATAATGTAGCATAACACATGTATTAAAATTCATGCAGCAGCTACTAGAATTCGCGCAGCGCTGGGTGCGCAAAATTGCAAAAAGCCGTTTGTGGTAGCGATAGTAAATATAAAATTTATGCTACAAGGATCAAGGTAATAAATGGGAAATGAACTAGCTATTTTAAAACTGTAATGTATGATGATTCTTTTGAGATAACAATGAGAAGATGAAGCGAACGAAGAAGAAAAATTCCAGTCGGCCGCCAAAAAGGCCGTTTGCCGTGAAGTTTAAATTGCCCTGGTAGTACATTTAAAATGCACGTAGTAGCCAGTATGTGCGTGGAACGCATATTACCTCGCCCTCGACGTTTTACCCTCGCCCTCGACGTTTTACCCTCGCCCTCGACATTTAACCCTCGACACTCGACCAATAGATAAACTCCACACGACATATAGGGACACTCAAGGTTGCACTAATTGCATCGTATAGGGTTGAAAAGTTGCCAATGATAAAGTGGTGATTTCTGCCTTCTTTTTGTTGTCAAATTATTGATTTTCTTTGGATAATTCTACCGTATCTACCGCTGAAACTGTTCTATACGAACTCTCTTGCTCCCCATTCCCTTGTCTATTACACCATAGCCAATGTCGTTCCCCGAGCCTGCGATCCTCAGAAGGAAACGAGTCTCTGGGATAATCTGTTGCCGAAAGCCAGGAATTCTGGCTAAGATTGAACTGCACATTCCATTTCAACGGCCAATCAGATTCCTCCCTGAAACGGATTATCCCAGAGCCTTCGTTTCCTTCGCAAGGACCGCAGGCCCAGGGAACGAGATTGCAGCATAGCGCGCATGTCATCATTTTCAGGTCAGTGTGAACGCCTGAGTAGGCGTCTTGTTAAGTATGATCTTGCTTTATGATGTAAGTGGGAGATAACATGCAATTTGATTGGCTAATCCGCGTGCGTTATAACACAATAATACACTGTAGTCTGTGGCACTGCCTTGCTCTTTCTGTGTTTCCCCGGCTTCATTTCTGCTTTTTATTACCAAAAATATAAACACAATAATAGAGTATAAATACAAAGTTCAGTAGAAAAAACCAAAACCTATGTGATTTAGAAAGGACCTTCAAGTTTCTGTTAAAAACTGCCAGATATATACTAATTCGGCAAAAGACAAAGAATACAATAATTTCAAAAATTAGAACTGAGCAACACCACGAAAACCCACGATTTAACATATTTCATGACAAATCCAGCAGCCCAGATGCTGACTGACATTAGCAAATTAGTCTGTAAATCGCTGGGTGGTTTTATTTCGATGCCAGCCTTTTAAACAGTTTCTCCGTAAGTTCAGCAAATTTTGCATTGTTCTTCCTCCGGTTTTCACTCATTTCCAACCATCAAACTGACGTTACGTCATTTGATGAATTTCTAAAGTTGACTCTTTTTTTATTTATTTTATTATTTTGGTTAAGGTTAGGGTTAGGGTTAGGGTTATAGTTATAGTTGGGGTTAGACTAGGGGTAGGGTTTGGGTTAGTTACATAACCATTTAACATCTCTTCCATCTTCCGAAAATGACGTCACGTCAGTTTGGTTGATGGAAAAGTGCTAACCTGTTGCTCCTTCGCGGGCCTAAAAATTCAAGGCGCCGTAAACGCATGTGCGTGACGTCACGGAGTACATGTTGTGAGAATTTCAAAATCAACCTTTTGAGTAAAATTGTTTACTATGTAATATCTTCTACGTTCGTTAGATCGTTATTTCCGTTATGGTCAATAACTATCGTGATATTGTTTGGCATGTGTACCTCGTTTTCACAAAATGCAAAAACGCTCTTTTAATAATTCCTCGAGGATATAAATTTGCAGCTTTGCGCTATGGCAGTGGACAGCTAAGATTTAGGATAAACATGAAATAAAACAAGGTTTTTACTTAGATAATTGGATAATTTACTTGCTTTACTTGGATATTCACTTCAATTTTTTAACTGAGATAATATTTAACAGTTATTCTACGAACTCGAGTCGAATATGAGCTGATAGCCGATGAGGCGCGTAGCGCCGAATCGGCTATCGCTCATATTCGACGAGAGTGAGTGGAATAACTGTTTTAATTATATACGATATAACTGATGCATCTTATAGTTACTGATGTAGCTTAATTGTTATGTTAATCTGTTCTTTACTGTATATTATCTGCAATTCAGGGATTTGGGGCATCGGCACAAATTTATAAAATTCACATTTCAAATTTCCGTCTACAAAACCCTTCAATATAAAATTGAAACTGTGGCCATCGTTTTTAATGTATCGCGATATTATCGAACGTCACGATAATTCCCTGGACAATAATCATGATATGATTTGTTAAATATCGCCCAACTCTATCGGAGTGTCGAAACATTGCGTCGTAAACTGTAACCTCTTCAAGTTACGTTCATTAAATTTACTAGTCAGACCTGTTTGCTTTGAACATGTTTTTCCTTGCATCAGTTTTTTTATGCTTTTATTTCTGTGTTATTTTTACCCAGAAAGTCAGCCAATATGTCTATGCAGCCGTATTCTGATGAAGAGCTGAACTACTTCAAGTTTGCGTCGATTGTCCTAAAGGAATTCCCAGATGCTTTGCGTAGCATCTTTGTAGACATGTGGGACACCAATGTTGCAGCAAGTTCCACCGTTTGGGATGACTCCCCTTTTGTACGCAATATACTCCACAACAATGAGGCTCCGAACACAAAAATTCCCACGAACAACTCATTTAAAGAGTGGGACTGCACTGCACTATTTCAAGCCACTCTGTATGCAAGAACATTTGCGCTACCAGACAGCACGGGAAAGAAAAAGACGCTCGGAGAAATGTATTTAAAAGGACGAAAGCCAGCCCCTTCTCCATTCCACT